GCCTGCCATGTCCACTAAGGCTTGTTGTGTTCCTTCATACTGACACCAGGCTCCTGAGGGGTCTGGAGACCTTGCTGTGAGTGTGATGGGGACCTCCCCTGCCTGCCTGAAGGAGAAGGCAGCAACATGGCCATGGGAGTGCATCCAGTGGTGTTGCCTCTTCCCTTACCTGGCTGCTGCTTGGTGTTGATCTTAGACCTTGATGTGGTCTAAGATGACTAAACCTAAAGGTTTTCTGAGGTCTCTAGCAGAGAATGCTATTGGCAAGTGGATGTTCTCACTTGCTCCTTGTGGAGACATGAGTTCTGCAGTGCTCAGCTCCTGCAGAGAAGCTTCAGGACATGCCTTGGCTGTGACAGACAGACTGTTGGCCTCTCTGAAAGCAGTTCAGAGTGCTGCAGCAGACAGGACCTGTGGGTTAGCACTCAGACCATCATCCAGAGCAGCTGAGACATAGGACAGTGGAGCGTGTGCCTGCTCCAGCCTGGGCAGTGTAGCTTCAGGAAGGTGCAAGGCAAGAAGCATGGTCAGGGACATCTTCTGCATGTGAATTGCCAGCACTGATGTGATAGTGCTCTGCTAAACAGCTGAGCTGGTAACACCTCCCAACAGACCGTCCCTTTCCCTTGGTCCATACAAATCCTGTCAGCTGCTGTGCTGGGCTTTGGGAAGAGAGTTTGAACCATTACCTACAACTGAAACCTTTTGTAGCATCTGCCACTTATTTTTTTCCTTGTACTAACGAGAAGGAAGTCTGTGAGGGAAGAGCTGCAACCCTAACAAAGAAAAATGCAACTTTCATGGCTTGCAAGTGAGCAGTGCCTGGTCTCTGCTGTGCCTGGTGAGAATGTCCTTCTGCAGAGAGAATGACCTCAGGCTGCCAGAAGCACGAGTGATGCTGTTAAACACGTCCATGTGTTTCCTGTCTCTCAGGAGGGGACTGGTCTGGTTTGAGGCAGCGGTAATAAGAGTTATCCCGGTGTTGAAGGAATCCTGAGTAGATTTCTTACCTCTTGTTGCAGGTCCCAAATAAGTTTCGTTATCCCTTCTACTATGAGATGTGTTGGTACGTGCTGGAGCGCTATGTCTACTGCATCACCAGCCGCTCACATCTGACCAAGGACTTCCAGAAGGAATCTCTCAGTATGGGTAAGCCCCCTCCCTGCCTCGGCTGCCCAGCTCTCATCCCTTCCTCACCCATATATACAGAAGGTCAACTGTATCCTGGGCTGCATCA